TTGAACGTTTGAAACCACGAAAAGCTTGCAAACGCGCGGCTAATGCGAGCCGACATACGCCGAATCGCGATTCCGGCCAAACATGGTCTCGGAAAAGAGGTCACAGGTCAAAGGTCATTTGGGTCAGGGTCATGAAATTTTCAGGATAGGTGTAAATTGATCAATGCGAGAGTACTGAAAGTTTCGTCGCGATCGGCCGCTTTTTTCGCGAGTTATTCGCGAAAAACCTTAGGGGGGTTGCATCAACCCCCCCCCCCCCTGTGCCGGCGAGGGTTAAATCAACTACTGTATGAGCCGTCTACCAAATGCCATTGACATAACATATGATTGCTTACATAAGTCACCCAGCTGTTGTTCCATATCAATCTTTGTTCTTCAGTACAAAAGGGAAGCTATGTAGATCCATCCATTTCAGAGTATTGAATCAACCCTTGTTGATGTTGCGCTGCTAGAGCGACGGCTGCCGGCCGCTGTAACTCGCACCGAGCTCCCGGCTCTAAGATATGCAGATTCGGCGGAAAATCAGGCTTCAAAGGGCGCATAAAGCACAGTCAGGCCCGAGGGTTGATCCCGCGGCTCCAAACGCAACCTCACGATGAGGTGGTGAATACATCACACTTTTCTGCGGCATCGACGCACAAACCAAGAGGAGCGAATTGACAGCTTCAGTGTGTCGAGTGGTAGTGAAGTGGGGCGAAACCCATTGGCATCAATGCCTTTATAAACTAGTCGACTCTGAAGAAAAACGGCGAGAAAAACCTTAAACACTCTAGGTATCGATGAGAATATCCTGATGAGAATGATGAGAAACATATTGTTTAGTAACACTCCAATTAAAATGGTCGATATGAACGTTGAAATTGCGTTTCCTCAAACGTCCGTGTGAAGGCAGCATTGCAGTACCTAGCGCTTACTGCTTGAATATGCAGTCGGACTGCAGCTATTCGCTAGCAGGGCTATGTATGTATATCGACGGACATTCGGCGATCTCCCTTGGCCCCTTGGGTTTGTTCCGAGTTACAGACCTTGTTACCACCAAACGTGCTTCGGCGCCGTGCGTGCTACGGCCCGAACTGAAAACACGCAATATATTTTCGTTTAGACTGATTGGGCGGACTTGGCTGGCTTTGGCGCTGTGGTTAAGGTATATAAGACACTCATTTCGTTAATGGAATCACAAAGTATACCTAAGCCAACTTAAGAGAAGTATGCGCATCTGGCTGACCTTATCCTCACTTCTGTATGGAAATATGAAATTGCCAAAATAAATTACTGTATTAAAAATCGAGATATTTCGAGCACAGCTCTTCGTCGGTCGATTGTGGAGCTCTTCACAATCGACCGACGAAGAGCTGTGCTCGAAATATCTCGATTTTTAATACAGTAATTTATTTTGGCAATTTCATATTTCCATACAGAAGTGAGGATAAGGTCAGCCAGATGCGCATACTTCTCATGATGATATTCCTCAGAACGCTTAACCACTTACTAAGCCAACTTAAGCCAGTTTTCTTAGAGAAGCTATACCGAATTGGATAACACCATGGAGGCTATCCTCTTTATGAGGTCGAACAATTTCTTATCAGTTTTATAAACCTCGACAGATTGTCATTGAAGCCAAGGTCATTTCGCCCATGTCAATTTTACATTGCAGTCCGGGCTTAGCATTACTTACTTATAGGAGCATTACTTAGCATTAGTTATATGAGATTCACAACGAGGAGCATGGTGCTCTGGTGCTACTCAGTACTTCATACTTAGTAAAATAATCCAAAAATGAAGTGTTTCAGTTGTTATCGAGCGAGACAATGCGAAGGTTCAGCTTGGATGACAAAAAAAAATGTCCAACTCACGTATGTTTACCTATCTGTTTGATATTCCTATACAGACAGCTTTGCATATACAGCCTGGCTAAGAATACATAGATCCCATGGTCACTGTTATTAAATAGCCGACGCGTTTCAGTGCCGAGAGCATAATGCAGACTAATGCTCCAACATTCTCTTACTTGTAGCGACATCACTTTAAAGTCACTTAATGCCCAGAGAAGTTTGCCATGATAAGGTGACCGTCAACTGCAGGTAGACCACACGCTAATTTCCACCTGTTCTGCTTGCCGCATGCAAATTTGTGGCTTGTGCCGCGCTGAACAGGTTAGACAGCATGCACTACATTACACACTGCACAGTACTTGTGTCACTGATTGGTAGGTCACTTCATTTCAACAAAACATAGTTTAGGTGTGCCTTCAGGCACTTGGAACTCGTGTAACAAGAAAAAAGTGCGACGCTCTATACCTAAGATTTGACACAATAGCCGTTTTCACGACGGCCATCGCCCATCTGGTACACATTTGGTGCACATCTGGTGCAGATTAGGTGCAAATTTGGTCAACTTTAGTTCAGTGTGTCTCTTAGTAGCTATCAGCTAGAGTTGTACTAATTACTTATATGGCTGCTTTGTCATATTATCAGAGAGCATCATCGAGTAAAACACTGAAATAAATTCATAGAATAAAGATATTTGCTGTAAAAGAGATTAGGTGCAGATTTGGTCAAATTAGGTGCACGCGCCGGATAGCCCGTCGTGAAAACGGCTAATATTGTCCGAACTGCCCACCCAGTAAGTATAACGTGTGACCAAAATGAATCAGAGTTTATATTTTGGCGTCTGTCTTTATACAAAGATCGACTGACTTTTCAACACTGAACTGACACAAACACCTCAAACCTCAATACATCAATCGTCGTGAACAAGAAAAACACTCGGTAAGCATATAGGAGACACGTCCTAATACACCACATCACACCTGATGGCACGCGGCCTGTTCAGCAGAGCACACCTGTCCGTCTGCTGGCAGCATGCAGCCGTGATGACGTCACGTTGACACGGCCAACACGGTCTGTGTTTGCCCGAGCGCCCGTCGATCAGAGCCGTTTGCTCGTCGGCCCGTTAGGAGCACCAATCAACGGGCCGACACGGCTCGACTCATCAGCCTGCGGGCATCTGATCGCACCCCGCTGTGGGAGAGAGGGGGAGGGAGGGAGAGAGAGAGGGGAGAGACGGCGGAGAGAGGGAGAGAGGGAGGGCGCGAGAGGGAAGGGGAGAAAGAGAGGGAGAGCGCTGAGAGTGAGGAAGAGGGGAGAGGGAGGAAGAGAGAAAGAGAGAAAGAGGGAGAGGGAAAGAGAGAGAGGGGATGCAGAGAGGGAGAGAGAGAGAGAGAGAGAGAGAGAGAGAGAGAGAGAGAGAGAGAGAGAGAGAGAGAGAGAGAGAGAGAGAGAGAGAGAGAGAGAGAGAGAGCGCTGAGAGTTGAGGCCGGGCTACGAACAGTTGTGCTCGTCAAAGTGGCGCTCAGTCAACTGTAGAGCTTGGCACGGCCTTTATTGGATGAGTTGTTGGGCAGTTGAGGATGATTTCCGGATTCGGGCTAGGCGGTGAACAGAGGTAATTCGAAGCCAACTGTCCACATTATCCAGTTTAGTGTACGAATTAGCTTACGGGATACGGTACGCCTGCCCTGTCAAACGAAAAGGGACGATAGCAATCTGACAAATAAAATGCAGGAGGAAAGTCGTAGCTTTCCTCTTTGTGTCGTGTTATTCGTAACTTACTAGTGATTCGTACACTCAATCAATTGTGTTATCATTGATAGTGTCTCAGGTTAGCAGTAGTGGCACCTGGGTGGTTTTTCACTTGAAGTTGCAGTAAAGGCTGTGGTAAATGTTTCGTTTCAGTGAAGTCGCGAAACGGCTTTGGTACAGATTCAACAGCTTTGATGCAATGCTTTTGTGTACGGTCTTCCCTCCGCACCGTAAGAAAATGTAAAGCCATTGGCGCAACAACGATGACGATTTATGTAAAAAGCACCTAAAAAATTACTTCAAATTTCAATTTCTCATCTGTACCTCATTTTCAGCACCACTTCACGCAACCATAACCACTTCAAGCCTTTAATTTGCATTGCCTTTAAAACAAACCAACAAAGGATCAATGCTGCTAAAGGTTGATAATTATGAACAGTACCGGACCTAACCAATCGAACAGTCACCCGAGTGCAGCTGATAAACACTGACGTCCATTCACGGTCTGCCAAATGTGCAGCTGTAGTTGAGAAGGTCGTGCCATCGTGACGGTCACGCTGCCGTGACCATTATCTACCTGTCCGTCCGGTATGACCGTTACCACCAGAGTGAACGGGGCCGGGAGCGAAAATTGACCGATCTCGAAAAGCCCTGCAGAGGTGAGTAGTTCGCGCAACAGGTCAACGCTAAAAACAGGCCGACAGGCAGACGGTTTTGTCTAAGGTTTGGTTAGCTCACTTACAGCGACAATATTTTGCTAAGAGCTCAACCGTCGACGCATGTTTGCTGGCTGAGTTGATTTGTGCGCTGAGAGTGAATTCCGCTCGAGTATCGAAATGAAGTTGTCTTGTTTAGTCATTTTCCAACATGTTGGAAAGGATTGGTCCCGCCGCAGACATCATTTCAGGGCCCACATCGAGAAAGTTTGTCTAAGGAAACTGCAAACTTTTTGACAGGCGCGGATAACTATTGATGCACCGGCTTATGCGTTGTTCGGTCTCGTCGCATAAAATGCCGCAATCGTTCGTCGGGCCTTTTCTCGAGTCTGGATCCGAGCGGCATGGAGTTAGTTCTAATCTTGGACGGCTCCCGTCCCCTGTGACCTGGGAAGCTGCCATACCAACCAGCTGCGTGCGACCTTCACTCGGCAGGTGGTTCTGACACGGGTGGAGGAAGACCCGACGACTTTCACCGCCTGTTCGCCGCCCCCTGATCATGTTGGACAGTTTCAGGACACACTAATCTTTATGAAATGATGAAGTTCAGCTCGTTCGTCGCTCATTTTAAAACTTCAGGTAATTAATGATTGAAATAGGAGGTGGGCATTAGTTAAATAATGCAATCTATGCATAAGCAAAAATGTACATAGTGATTCAATCAACAATTTGAAGATTCGACCTTCAAGCATGTACAAGCGCATGCAGCTGCATTAAAGCGAGTATATTTTGTCAGCCGCTCTCGTTTTTCTCCTGTGGCGCTGCTAACGCCCAAAACACTGTGAACAGTTTTTCATACTGCAGTTCTTCTGCTATACGCAGCACGGCCGGGTGACTGGTATTCATGCACGCTGGGTAACCGGCCGCCTCGCAGAGTCGGGTCAGCTCAGTCATCACTGCCGCCGCCAGACCGCGCTTCCGATGACCAGTTAGGGTGTGTAGGTGACCAAGGCACCCATCGTGGTTAACCAGCGCCCAGCAGGCCAGACCGTCGGCAGGTAGGGGCTCCTGGTCGTCATTTCCACCGTCCTTTGGCGGCTCGACGGGCTCGGTGATGAATGCTCCGGCAGATAATCCCGCGGCGAGACCTTCGCCGATCATCTTATGTGCGTACTCCACCTCGGCAGTGTACGGCCAATAATGCATCACTGTGTCGACGTGCTCTGGTAGAAGTGGCCGGATGGACACGCCTTGCCTGCGAAAAAGAACGGTTGAAAATTATAAGTTCGAATCATGTTCCACTGCAATACAAGTAGAGAACGCAAACGAATGCACAATATTTATTGAAAAATGCTTACATATTCACAAGAAGCTGGCAATTTCAGACACAGCTTGCATTTACAAAATCTACTAAGGACCTCAAAAAGTGTAACTTAATATAACAGCTTTCACATACCTTGGAACTGATCGTACTTCAGCATGTCCTGCTGGTCGAGCATATGACATTGTGTCTGCCAAGAAATAAAAGCTATAGCTCATGTCACGGGCCGCATCTTGCAATGTCTCCAACAGACTCTCGGGCCAACAGTCGGCCCGAAACCTGCCGCCCCAGATGGCTGAGCGTAGGTCAGGGTGTCTGAGGATCCTCGACAGCCGGCTGGGGGTGGACGGACTGTCTGGTGCCGCCACTGACACCACACGGAAATCAGCCATGGGTCTCTGTAAAAGAATAGAAGATAAGAAATAGCTAAATTGAACCGATCCTTTTACTGTGATAAAGAATAAGACTTAAAATATTAAATCCTACAATTTCAATAAGTCTCTGGTATGTACATACTGGCACTGGCGGATCCAGGGGGTGCATTTAGGGCCATGGCAACCCCCAAAGGCCTAAAGTGGCCTGTTTGGCCCCCCCCCCAAACGTCAGAAAAATTGCTAAGAAAATATGCCTTGATGGAGGTTTTTAGCCACTTGGTGAAGTAAAGGTTTCCACAGCATGATATGGAGGCAATATGGTAGCAGTGAGGGTCAGTCAAAAGTTGCGCGAGCGTAGTCGCCACCTTAAAAAAAGACTGTGGTTGGCACGTGTTTATGGCGCGGCAGCTGGTAGTTGGCGGTGTTTCGCGTGGTGTGGCATCACTGGCGGATCCAGGGGGGGGGGGGGGGGCACGGGAGCCTGAGGTGCCCCTGACAGCAGGCCCGTGGTGCCCTTGCTAGGCCTGTGGTGCCCCTGGACCCTGGCAGGCCTGTGGTACCCCTGGCGGGCCTAGGGTGCCCCTGCTAGGCTGCTGATGCCCCTGGGACCTGACAGGACTGTGGTGCCCCTGACAAGCCTGCAGTGCCCCCAACAGACCCGTGATGCCCCCGACAGGCCCAAGGTGCCCCTGCGTGATGCCGTGATGCCTGCGAGGCCGATGGTGCCCCTGCGAGGCCGGTGGGCCCCTGACAGGCCCAAGGTGCCCCTGCAAGGCCGGTGGTGCCCCTGTAAGGCCTATGGTACCCCTGCTAGGCCTCTGGTGCCCCTGACAGACCCATGGTGCCCCTGCGAGGCCGGTGGTGCCCCTGGCAGGTCTCTGGTGTCCCTGACAGACCTGGGGTGCCCCTGACAAGCCTGTGGGGCCCCTCACAGGCCCGTGGTGCCCTTGCTAGGCCTGTGGTGCCCCTGGCGGGCTGGTGGTGCCCGGTGCCCCTGCTAGGTCGGTGGTGCCCCTGACAGGCCTGTGGTGCCCCCCGGCACCAAGGGGGGTCATGACCCATGTGGCCCCCCTTGGATCTGCCACTGATACGTTATGGCTTATGCAATATGCAATTGCAGGCACTTGGTATCCCTCACTTATCCCTCATTGGGGGCTCTGGCGGGCTCCTGAGGGCCCACGTCTATCTCCGGGAGCCCTAGACGGGCTCCTTTAGGTCCTTTCAGTCCACTATAGCATAAGAGGTCTCCACGCGAGTCTTATACATCTGAGGGCGTGTACCCTGACGTCTGAGGTACCCAACTGCAGCTCCAATGGTCTCTTACACTGGCGGATCCAGGGAGGGGGCATTGAGGGTCATGCCCCCTTCCCAGAGGCCTAAAGTGGCCCGTTTGCCCCCTCCCCCAAACGATAATGAAACATAGTTCAATCAGTGCGTGGCCCAGGAGCCGAGTTAGACAGGGGGTGTTTTACCACCTCCCGGCCCGCAAAGGGACCCAAGCACTGACTCGAAGCGGGTTAACTGGTCGACAAAAGCAATGGTAAGTGTTTACAAAGTAATATAAAGGCATGGGTCGGGTGGGCTACCATTTATATATTTTTTCTTTTTAGTTAAAAAAATCATAGTGTCAGGGCTGTGACGAAAAATAAGTGGCCTAAATCCGATGAGAAAAAAGGATTTGGGGATACCCTAGGTTTGGCTCCTGCATGAGTTGCCCCCCCCCCCCAAAAAAAAACGCAAGTCTGGATCCGCCAGTGCATACTGGCACCTTTGTATTATTCATAGTTGAATTACAGTATCGAAAAAATAAGGCGACAACTTACCGTGACCAGAATGACTAGAATATCTTCAGACTGACCGCTGTAGAAGACCTCATAGGGACACTTGTTCACACCGTTTCTTAGCAGAAGTAGGCCGAATCGAAGCTGAAATATGATATCAAGCGTCACATGACGGAATTTTTCACCTCGTACTGCAATCTTGTTGGGTACAACGATTTGATATTATTGCAGTGAATGATTTTTTTTCGAAACGGAATTTATGCAATATGCAGGACCGTGCACCATGTAAGATATGTTTTTACGTCATTTTGATTTTATGCCATATCACGTGTTGTATTCGTGCACTTGCAAGAAGGGCTGGCTGGAAGGGTGAACGGGTACGGCCTACTCATCTTTCAACTTACGCGAGAAATAGCAACGGTGTTGAGTGAATGAATGCATAACATAATATATCAATGAGTGATTCAAGAAATGAATGAATGAATGAATGAATACAGACACCATGCAAAGCCCACAAAGCTGACAAAATGATGCAGCATGCAAGCACACTATATAGTAATGAAATGTTTCAAAAACGATCTTCAAAAAGTCCCTTCAAACACGTCTCATTCATTTTTCTCAACAGATCTCTGCTACTTGATCTTGGTCTGGCCAGACGTCATAATGCTTTGATGTTGAGCTACTTATATTGCTGTCATTTGCTGTCTTTTGCCAAGTCATGCTTTGCTTGGTCCCTGAAATCCAACTACTTACCTACTCTCCCTTTTATCTAAGTGATGGTTAGCTTGGCTGAAGTGTTGATCTGATCTGGTCCTACCAATATTTTCTGCACCTTATGCACATTAATACCCAGCTACCTACCTCAGCGCTGCGCGTTCCGTGTCTCTCCAGCTGCGTCACCAGGCGGTCCAAGTCACCGGGCTCTGCACGAACCACCGTCTCAGTATCGCTGACGGGTGTCGGATCCATGGCGTCAATCACACTCCAGACTGTGCTCAGTCCTCTCTAACCTCTCACTGCCAGCAGTGCCGACCCGCAACTGTGTCCCCAATGTGAGAGACGCCCCACGCCGGCAGCGACCGGTCCCACTCACAGACTCCTGCCGTGAGACTGAGCCACCACCAAACCAGTGACCTTGAACCGCGGTGAACCCACCAGTCAGCTGAGCGCCGTCAGATGCGCTGAGCCGGCTGGTGTGGTCGTGTGGTAGTTCTGGTGTTACATGTGCAAGTCTGAGTTGACATAACTGTTGCCTGTTGTGAGCCGTACTGGTGACTAGTCATGTTACTAGTCATTCTTTCATTGATTAATTAAAACATGGATGCATGATCATTGCTCATTCATTCATTCATTCATTCATTCATTCATTCATTCATTCATTAGAATGTGACGGTTATACCTAGTCATTTCTTACACACTACTTTTCCCAGACTTCTGTCGTGTATTAGCCGTTTTCACGACGGCATCTGGTACACATTTGATGCTTATTTGGTCAGACTTGGTGCGGATTTGGTCAACTTAGGTACAGTGTTTTTCTTCGTAGATATTAGCTAGGGTTGCGCTAATTGCTTATATGCCTTCTTTGTCATACTAGCTATCAGACATTATCATCGACTAACCCGCGCCCCGCTGGGCTATTCAGCCATACGCGCCCTGCTGGGGGGGGGGGGCAGATTCTGCCCCCCTGTCTAACTTCCGAACCGATGGTCGTAGAAAGACGGGGAAAACGGCAATCGAAAGCTCTCAACAAGGCGGATCTTAAGAGCCGAAAATTTTTTGCTTAAGTACGAGGTCAGAGGTCAGGTCAAGGTCAGGTCAAGGGTACAAAATGCAAGTTTCTACAGTATCGGCCTTGCACCGTAGTTGCCGAAGAATGGACTGAGCCTGATTGCCCAAAACGTGTCCTTAGACTACCAAAACAATATTCGTTGCATACAATGTCATTCAAAGGTCAAGGTCAAGGTCAGGTCAGGTCAGGTCAGGTCAGGTCACCAAAAACAAAATATAGAAAAGGGCATGTGCGACACATGTTTTATGGGTCATTTTACTCATAGAATTCAATAGGCACACTCAATAAGTGATATGGACCACCTCTGGATGAATTTCAGGTCGAGGTCAGGTCAAGGTCAGGTCAAGTGAGGTCAAATTTTGAAGTTGGTTGTTAAGGTCTAAAAAGGTGTCTATCTGATGCAGTTTTTCACGGCGAATCGAATGGTGCTATTTTTGTTTCCGTACGAGGTCTAGAACTTTAAAAAAAAACATTTTTTTTCAAAAATTTTGTTTGTCGTGACGTCATAAAATTTTGAATAACTCCCACATTTTTGAACTGATTCTTCTAAAAATTGGTATGTAGGTGCACATATACCACTTCTCTGACATATATTCCGGTTTTTTTCGATAAATTGAAATTTTTGGATTTTATAATTATTTTCCCAAAAAGGTCAGTTTTTTAGAAAAAAAAATTGGGCCAAATTCCAAAATTTTCAAAAAACCGAGATAGCCATTTGATAGACAAAGTAGAATCACGTATAACCTTTTTTACGTCTTGATTCCTTTAAAAATGAAGATGTTAGCGGCGTTTGAAATTTTGCCGTTTTTGAGGCGAAATTGGCGAACATGACGTCACTAAAACGTCAATTTCTCAAAACTTTTCTAACGGATTTCGCTCAAATTTTCAGGGAACGTGTCAAATTGATGTATGATAAGGTACTGAAAGTTTGACGTCGCTGGCGTAACGCGTTTAGAAGTTATTGGCGAAAAACAGGGGGCCCCCCAGCGGGGCACGGGCTAAAACACTAAAATAAATTCATAATTGAAAGATATTTGCTGTAACAGAGAGTTGATACCGATTTGGCCAAATTAGGTGCATTCACCAGATAGCCCGTCATAAAAACGGCTTTGTGTATCATGACGCCACCGTGAGAGCTCCAGCAAAAGTGATTGACGAGCTGAATCAAAGGCACTCTCCCTTACGTCCATTTGGCTATCGTCACATTCAGGTCACGATCATATAGACGCAGTCATATCAATGTTATATATCTGTAGTTGATAAATATAACTATATCCACCATCAAACTATATTTAAGCTCGCTGGCTTTGCGTTGAATAGGCGTTGTTTTAAAACATTGCAGACAAAACAAATGCCGTATTTTTCAACCTGTTTCATCAGCAGCTGTTCAATGCATGTAGGTATAAATAGCCTAAAATATTGATGACAAGAAAATTGATAGCGGCACCGATATAATGATCGAAAAACAAATAAGAATTCACAGTTGTGGCCTTGGGAGTGACCTTCGATAGCCTCGAAAAAAAAATTGTGAATACGCCGCTGTGATGCACTAACGTTGAAGTTTTTCTTCTTCCAATGGCCCTATTACCAAAATGAATATGCCAGTTGCGCTACTTTTCCTCGTTGGTTTCTTGTTTTCGAGGCGCTACCATTGCCCAGAACACACGGAACAGCTTTTCATACTGCAGCTGTTCAGCTATACGCCAAACAGCTGGGTGACTGCTGTGAAAGTTAGCTGGATAGCCAGCCGCCTCGCAGAGTCGGGTCAGCTCGGCCGTCACTGCCGCCGCCAGACCGCGCTTACGATAACCCGTCAAAGTGTGCAGGAAACCCAGGTAGCCGTCTTGGTTCACCAGTGCCCAGCAGGCGAGACCGTCGGCAGGCAAGGAGTCCTGATCGTTGTTTTCGACTTCAGTCGACAGCTCAAAGGCATCGGTGACGAATGCTCCGGTAGACAGGCCCGAGGCGACGACGTCGCTGATCATCGAGTGAGCGTCATCGATTTCTGCAGCGTACGGCCAGAAGTGCAACACGATGTCGACGTGTTCTTGAAGAAGAGGGCGGATACACACGCCCTGCCTGTCGAGATGTGCTAAAGTCAGTCGGGACATGCACATTTGATGTTCTGCACTTGATTGCGAATAATGACACATTTTGTGGCATCAATTGTACAAATTTTACCCTCGCCGGACCTATCAGTTTTCTAATGCATCAATTTGTTTTTGAGACCGAAAGAGGGGGGATGGTTGCCAGTGTATCCCGTATCGCTGTTTCGCTCATGACTAGGCTACAGCTGCACATTGCCTGATTACTTACAGCTTACACCTAGTATAACTATTCTATTTTTCTATCCAAATGAGTCAAACTTTACACAACAGTAGCCGTTTTCACGACGGCCATCTGGTACACATCTGGTGCACATTTGGTAAAGATTAGGTGCAGATTTGGTCAAATCAGGTTCAGTGTGTCTCTTAGTAGCTATCCGTTGCACTAATTGCTTATATGCCTGTTATGTCATATTATCAGAGTATCATCGATGAAAACACTGAAATAAATTTTATAATTTATAAAATATATATATATATATATATATATATATATATATATATATATCTGAATACTTAGGAAGCAACCCTTGTTCAAGACATGTTTCATTGAAGAAGACCGCATTTCGTGTGTTAATCAGCTTCTTTTGGACTTTTTCGATAGAACGTACGTGTTGCTTATCGTTATCATTAAGACCCTTCAGTAACTCTCCAAGAATAGTCATTTATATCGCAACCGGTTTCGTCATATTCAGCATGACATTTTCAAGCGATTATATACAAAACATATGTCTACAGAAAATAAGACAAGCAAACGTTACAGGAACGATTCAAATAAATTTTACACACTGTTTTCATTTCTACACTTTTAAATTCCAAAAAACATGCAAAAACACGTGGTACCACTTGCTCTCTGAAGAACTGAAAAAATGAATGTCAGAGCTTGTCATTCATTTACACGGCCATGTCATGCAGTGTCAGAATTCTGTCATGCTCGCGTTGAATGTTTAACGCAGGTTTAGACAGATGTATGTACACCGCTTCTAGGACACGCAGGCGTTTCGTGTTCGTCTCATGGTGGATAATCTCTGTATAATCCACCAGGTCCTGACGTGTGATCCGCCTGTGGTGATCCTCCCTCATGTGCCGCTCCAGTTCTCCATTTTGCTTGTGATACGTCAATCTTCGGTAGGCGTCGCTCATCTGACCCTTGTAGTACAAGATGTTTGTGTGCCGTTTGTCATCCTTTTTGCCAGGTTGGAGGTGCTCATCAAAATGAAAACAGTGTGTAAAATTTATTTGAATCGTTCCTGTAACGTTTGCTTGTCTTATTTTCTGTAGACATATGTTTTGTATATAATCGCTTGAAAATGTCATGCTGAATATGACGAAACCGGTTGCGATATAAATGACTATTCTTGGAGAGTTACTGAAGGGTCTTAATGATAACGATAAGCAACACGTATAGTCGGTCAAATATGTATCTTTCCCGGCCGCCAAGTGGCGCTACGGTCTGGATTCGATAGTTGGCTGAGCCCACACCCCAGCTGCCCTGGCGGCTCTGGCGGCCCTGTGACGTCACGCGCGGGGGGCGGAGCTACACAGCGGCCGGCTGGAGAGTGACCGCAGACCAGCACTGGACGGCCTCGCCGCCGGGTGCTCCGGCGGGTCTGGCCGGGAGAGGCGAGCAAGCGGATGCGTTAGGAATCTAACGAATGTGAGGGCAGCGCGATGGTCTAATGATGGCTGTGCTTTCATGCGCCGTGTAAATTGTAGACTGAGTGCTATGAGCTATCAAAGGATTATCTGGTGTTTCAACAGGGGTCGCTGACCTAAAAATTAAGATGGTTGCTCTTGATACGATCGAATGCTTGGTGATATGATGATTAGCGCAAGAGAAATATTTAATCGAATTATGACCGGTTATTTTTTGATAAAGCAAAAACTTTTTTCATTTTTTTTTTTTTGGCATTAACGGGAAAGCGTTAAGCCATATCTACTGAAAATCTTAACCTGCGCCGGGCCGGGGGGGGGGGGCGATTTGCGCCCCCCCAGGTTTTTCGCAGATAGCCGAAAAACGGCGGCGTGCAGCGCCACCAAATTTTGCATACCTGTTTTTCCATCTATTGCGCATACTGTGTGCGAATTTTGACCTTATATGACTTAAGGTCAGGTCAACAGGTCGGTTTGAGTGACCTAACGTCACAAAAAGTTTGAGCTTGCACCAAAGCTACAACTGTTGACCGATCGATATGAAACTTT